TTTGAAGATTGTAAAAATGAGCTAGGCAGTGTTTCCTGATTTCCTCACATCACATAAATAAGATAGAGAAGTAACAGCAGATCTGAGAGGTGACAAAATAAATGCTCTAAAACCCAATGTTATAAAGTCTGAGACCTGAAGAATCTGAATGTTGGTTACCAGAGTTTAAAATAAGCATGGAGTTCCTCAACCTTGAACCTAGACCAGTGTGAGAGAAGGGTAGAGGGAAAACAGAGAAAGAAAAAGAAAGGGAGTAGAAAAGCTCAGAAGCTTACCCCTTAATAGCATTTGGAAAGAAAACCAGAAAAAATTAAAATGTGACATGAACAGTAGTGTCCTTGAATCAGATCATACAGTGTAAAACCAAATTATGAATAGAAAACCCTGCCTGACACCAAGCCAGTATGGAAAGCCCACATATGGAACCCTGTTAAGTCAACCTACTTCCCACTTCAGAGAGCTGTGAATTGTACCAGAGTACACGTGCAGTGGGTTCTTTGAAGAATATGAGTAGCAAGAACTTGTAGAGGGATTGCTACTAGCTGAATGTCACTTAAATCCTCTCCCCATCATTACAAACAATGTGAACAGGGTGGAGTAGTCCCACTTGGGAAGAGCTCCCACAACCCAGCACTCTGGTCAGCTGCTGCTCAAGCCCAGTCAGACACAAAGCAGATGCCCCACATTTGGGTGGTGGAAGTCTGAGCAGTAAGAAAGTTTAGGCACTGAACAGAGAAAAGGGAAAGGGGATTGCTTAGAACTGCTGTTGCCACCTGTTGATGTTGTAGAGATTCCTTAGGGGAAGTTGCTCAAGTCCTTAGAAAACTAGAGATAGTCCCACTGATCATGGGACTATGTGAGGCCAATTCAGAGAGAAACTGCCTGAATATCCAGTGCCATAGAAGTACAGATCCCCATATTGTGGCTATAACTTGGTGGAAAGCCTTGAAAAGAACGTGTCTACATCCCTAGGAAGCTTAAAGGGAAAATACCAGGATCAGTACCACAGCCAGTGGAAGATCAGTCAAGTCAGAAATTTGCCTGGGCCCAAGACAATGCAAAGCAATGACCCCTAGCTTGATTCATCTTCACCCAGACTTGTCCCTTAGCGTGACTCAACTCCCAGCCTGACCTTCCACCACAACTGTGGAATGATAGGACACTCTTTTCTGTCTCTTTTTTTATTTGTTCTAATTAGTTATACATGATACTAGAATGCATTCCGACACATCATTCATAAATGGAGTATAACTTCTCATTCTTTTGATTGTACTTGATGTAGAATCACACAGGTCATGTAGTCATACATGCACATATGGTAATAATATTCAATTCATTCTACTATCATTCTTATCTCCATCCCCCTCCCCTCTTTTCATTTTCCTGTGTGAGTACCTCTATTCTTCCTTAACTCCTTCCCCCCTTAATGTAAATTAGCATCCTCATATCACAGAAAGCATTTGGCCTTTGGTTGTTGGGATTGACTTTTTAAAAAATATATTTATTTATTTCTATGTGGCACCGAGGATCAAACCCAGTGCCTCATGCATGCGAGGCAGGTGCTCTACCACTGAGCTTCAGTCCCAGCCCATGGGATTGACTTTTTTGCTTAGCATGATATTCTCCAGTTCTATCCATTTACTGGCAAATGCCATAACTTCATTTTTATCTGAGGCTGAGTAATATTTCATTGTGTATATATAATGCAATTTCTTTCATTTTTTAATTTTTAATTATTTTTGTAAATTTCATTTTAGTTTTTACACAAAAGGAACACAACTTTTCATTTATCTGGTCGTAAATGATGTAGAGTCACACCATTCATGCAGTCATACATATACATAGGCTAATAATGTCTGTCTCATTATACCATCTTTCCCTGTCCACACCCTCTCCCCCCACCCCCTCCCCTCTGCCCAATACAAAGTTCCTCCATTCTTCCCTTGCCCTCCACCCTCATAGATCAGCAACCACTTATCAGAGAAAACATTTTGCCTTTGTTTTGGGGGATTGGTTTACATAACTTAGCATGATATTCTCTAACTCCATCCACTTACCTGTAAATGCTGTAATTTCATTCTTCTTTAATTTTCATTCTTCATTGTGTATGTATACCACAGTTTCTTTATCCATTGATCTATTGAAGGATATCTAAGTTAGTTCCACAGTCTAGCTATTGTGAATTGAGCTGCTATAAACATGGAACTAAGAATAGGCAGAAAATAATGGCAGAAGCATATGGTGGGGGAGTGCTGTTTCATTTATGGCATCCAGGAAACAGAAAAATCAGAGGGTAAGGGGATACATGGAAGATCAACCCTTCCAGGGCATTCCCTCAGTGACCTACTTCTTCTAGCTATCCCCCACTTTCCTAGAGTTGCTACCCAGTTAGTTCACTTAAGTTGGGATGAACTGAGTAGTTTATAGTTCTCATAATCATAATTTCCCCTCTGAATATTCCTGAATTAACACCACATATCCAAACCTTTTTGGGGAACTTTTTGAGGAACACCTCATATTCAAACCATAACACCATCCCTTTTCAGTTTTTATTTTGTGAATACTTCCATGTGTCTTATTAAGTTTCACATGCTGGTCTCAAATTTGTAATCCTCCTGCCTTAGCATCCAGATTACCTTAAATGACAGGCATGTGCCATTGTGCTTGGCTCAATATTTGATTTTGAACCTTTATCATTCAAGAAGGTGCCTGGTGAACTTTCTGCTTTGCTTCAAAGCTTCCTCTGAAATGTATTATTTTGACATATCAAAAATTCACAATAATAAAGCAAGATGGTAGACTAGAGCATTTGATCCTCAATTTCTTTTTATTTTTTTAAGATAGGCTCTTGTTGTGTTGCACAGGATGACACTGATCTCATTGTCCTTTGACCTCAGCATCCTGTGTTTCTGTAATTATAGGTATAAACCACCACACTACCTTCCTCTAATTTTATAGAATAGATTTTGTAGTAAAGTATTTTCTTCTGATGATATGTCTTAGAATAATTGTTGAGTATGCTATGTTTTCTTTTTTTATGCAGTAGTGTAGGCACAGTATAACTTTTTTTTCAGCTATAATCAATGTTGGTGAGGACTACCAAGCTGAGTTTGCCTACAGCTATGAATGCCACCTGTGTCCGTGAGTGCCGCCATACACCTTTCAGTTTCTGTGGGTTTCTGAGGACAGGACCACTCTGGCAGAACTGGCAAGTAAGTTGCCATTGGCACAACAGCAGAAGTAGTGCTATTGTCAGATTTTGTGGGCTAACCAGGGACAGAGCCACTCAATTCAGTCCAGGCATGTACAAGGTGTTGTGCAAGGCAATAGTGATGGGGTTTGGGTGCATTTGATTTCAAACCAACACCATGCAGCAGCTGCCCTGGATGGGGGAATATACAGCATGGATTGGGCTCTGTCTCGGGAGCAGTGAAATGTTGTATACTCCCTTGAATCTTCCCAAACTAGGCTTGGGACTCACAGGAGATACAGTATTCCTTAACTGCAAAACCTTCAGGTGTCAATGGCATCAGTGAATTGCTGGGAGCTTCCCATTTAACTTTTTTATATCATGGGAAGACTTTCCTGGTTTCAAGTTTTTATGACCAGAGCAGTTATGTTGTCAATGTAAGGCAATTTTTCCCCTTTATTACAAGGCCATCCTAATTCTTTGTGTTCAACAACTTACCTGTTTTATTTGCACCATACTCTTGCATTCTTCTTCAAATATTCTTGCCCAAAGCAATTGTATATTCTTTGTTTTTGGTTCTTCTTTTTGGGAGCCAGATACATCTGGTCTCTCTAGCCAGCCATCCCAGAAGTGCTCTCTCTCTCTCTCTCTCTCTCTCTCTCTCTCTCTCTCTCTCTCTATATATATATATATATATATATATATATATATATATATAAAGTTTTTACATGAATTTATTCATTAATGGATTTTAATTTAATAAAATAAGGAAAAAGCAATATTATATCTACCTTTATCTTCAGAAATTGGCTGAAGACATTAAATAACTGCAAAACACTACATTATTCTGCAGGTATCCCACCCATTTTTATTTTTTAAAATATGCCTATAGACATCCTAAGCAAAATGTTATTGTGGCAGATTAACAAGCTTACTTAAATATAAACTCTAGAACAGGGTTAAATAGAATTATGCAGATTCTTTATAAGTCAATGGGATAGTTCTGATTAAGAACAGGTTACTATTTAAGCAAGTCTCCTTTGTCTACATTGGCTGATTTTTCAAGAGATTTATAGTTGTTTCTAATTTGATTGCTGATATTCTATACCAGCACAATGTACTGGGAGATAAGTTTTTTTTTTTTTTGTACTGGGGATTGAACCCAGGGACACTCTACTACTGACATAAATCCCCATTCCTTTTTATTTTAAAACAGAGTTGCTCTAGATTGCCAAGACTGGAATCAAACTCATGATCCTCCTGCCTCAGTCTCTCAAGTCTATGGGATTACAGGTGAGTCCCACCATGCCTGGCTTAGTACTTAGGTTTAAAAGAACAAATAGTTATCTTGCATGTCAGGTACAAACCATTGGAATAGCTGCCTGAAGCTCTGCACTGAGAAGCCTGAGCTCTTACCCAGGAAGACTCACAGTAGGAAGAGGGTTGTGATTGATTAGCAGTTATCTGCTATAGGGGTGGGAAGGAACATGTATGGCATGTTGACCCAGGATGAGTCTACAATAAGTCAGAGTGAATCACGAATTCTCTGTATTCTAAATCACAGTAACAGAAAATGAAAGGGTAACAAACACAGGAGATATTAGCCTTTACAACAATAATATTATATAACAATAATGATATATTATAATATATAATTATATATTAATGCTATGATATATAACATAATATGCAATATATTATAATAATGTTATATGACAAAAATATCATAATATATTATGACATTCTTTCAAACTATATCAGATTAAAAAATGTCAAGTATGAATATTTTATAATTAAAATCCTTCAGATTTTTTCACTTATAGGTTATATGAATACACAATAGATATAAAAACTATGATTTAATTTATGCTGTGTTACTATTGTATAAATCCCATTTAAATATTAAAAAAATCACAGTAATAATGATCCATAGGTTACTGGAGCAGGGGCTTTAGAATTCCAGATGTAATAATCAGAAGATACTAGTTTCTGGTGTGAACTTATTTTTGGTTTTCCTGATGGCAAAAACTTGAACTGAATGTTGATCCACATAACATCCAATGAGTGTGTAATCTAAGATGCTAAAATGAAGCTTTACATATGCTGTATCTCCAATACAAATCTGGTCAAATGGTAGCTTGTCATGGCTCTTGGCTCCAAAGCTTATAGTTCCAGAAAGACTAATTTCCATTGATTTGGGGAACTTCTGGCCAATAATCCAGATCAGTAAGCTTTTCTCTTGAAATACTTCAAACTGGCCAAAACTAACTTTGTATTCTAATTGTGTAATTGGACCTCTATTGTAAAAAGGTATATGAGCTTCACAGAATTTGAAATTATTTTTCACACTTCATGAAGTTTTATTGTTAGTTGTATTTCTTCTTCTTTCATTTGATAGAAACCCAAAATCGGTGGTACAGGGCTGGGAAATATAGTAGCATAAATTGAATGACTCTAAAGGTGGAGCGAATGGAAATTTATAAGGCCCACTAAATGCAGAATCATCCACTGCATCAATGCTGCTAGAGATCAGAATGGCAGAATCAAGAGAAGTCACACAAGGATGAACTAGAATATCTTGAAGTGGAGATCCATTGGTGGGGAGGTTCAAGCTGATGGTGACATTTGGCATGATTCCTTCTAAATCACACCGGCAAATGACTGCTCCAACAACTTGCCATGTATCTGCTATATCCTGTTTATCATATTGCATGAATTTTACCTTTTCAGTGATAGAAACAGAAACCTGTGGTTTTCCTTTGTATGTTCCAGCTTTCCAAGCTGGCTGTTTCTGTGGCTGAGACACAGAAGCAAAATTAATATTATCCAATGAATTCTGTAAGTTGGCATCCAATAAAGTACTAAATGGAGAAGCCTGAAGAAGCAAATTAGGCAACTGGCTCAATTTTGTATTTAGCTCAGTATCATTTTTTTGACTAGAATAAAGAAAATCCTGTATATCAAAAAGAAGTTCCAAGCCTTGTGAAATTCCACTGATGCTAATTAATGGTGGACGAGGGGAGAGAGTTTGTTCAACAAGTGGAACACTAGCATATATCATGCCATTCTTCAGAAAAGCAACCACTGCCCAGAGTTCTTCACCTCCTACTGAAAGTCTATAGATGGTTGTTTTATTGATGTGGGTACAACTATCACGACGCTCTACGAAGTCCTTATCGTCATCCAATAATCTAAGTTCAAAAAGGAGTGCTTTAAGAAAGGGACCATCTTCAGGAATAGGCACGTAACTTGCTCCATTGAATACTTTGGCTCTCTTTTCAACGGTTGGATAACGTCAAAGTTGTCGCCACCAAGGAATAGCGCAGACCGGCTTTCTCCGTGGGATTCTTAACTGAAGTCCTGAGATTTGCCCTGCACCACACACGAACTCACTAGAGATGCTGGCTCTTTCAAGGGAGGCAAATAAAACCTCTGACTCTATCCTGGTCAAAACACACCACAAAAAGTTCTAAAAATCCGCACCTAGAATCTTGAGAAACTTATCCCCAGCAAACCCAGTACTTTCTTTAAATATATTTTTTGACATTTCCATCAACAGTATTTTATGATAGCAACAGAAAATAGATCGAGACATTATTCAACATAGGAATTTTGGAAGGACACATACTTTGAAACAATGGTAGTCTTTAATTTTCCAACAGTAGTATCACATCAGATTATAAGATTTCACAAATAAATAGTGATGGCACTATTATTTTGACATTTCAAATCCATTCCTAGGAGCTTAGCTTGTGGCACAGTCTGGTGCAACTTTCCAACCTAATTCTAGCCTCTTGTCAGTGCAAAAACATGGACTGCCTTTGAAGCTCAGTTTGACTTTTCTCTATGTTATCTTATAGGAGGTGGTATGTAGGTGTGTGGTGGAAATTGGTAATCAGTGACTTTTCCACCAAAACCTTCCTAGATTGAAGGAGGTGTGTGTGTGTGTGTGTGTGTGTGTGTGTGTGTGTTTTCTGTTTTTGCGGGGATTAGGGTAGAAAGAAAATTGACTTTACTGCTGCCCACTACCACCCAATATAAGCCATCTGGAAAATGGATCTATAAAAAATATAATCTGCAGATGTTAATCTATTGCCAATACACTGAGAACGGGTTATATAATTCAGGCAGTTGTGCAAAAGAAGGCTGCCACTTGGCTTCTGGGACACATGGAGCAGATTTTCTACAAGGTAGAGCTGTAAGGGTTGGGTATGGTGCTTCACTTGATTTACACACATTCCCATTGTTCTTATGAAGTTTCTAGCAGTTTTGTTGATTAAATGATTCTCATGTTTTATGAGTCCTTTGATTAGTCCTAGGGACCTTGCATGATTATCTTTTTTTTGATGAGTTTAATAGATTTATCTATGAGGTAGAGTTTTCCACAAGTTCCTCACACTGTCATTCTAGAAGAACTGCTTTCAAATATTTGCTTATTCCATTATTTGTAAACATTTTAATTATTAATTATGGTTATTATAAGATATGAGAAGATGGTAAATAATGTATAGTAAGATTTAAGCAAGGCAAAACAAATAATATGCAACTTTTGGAGGTAAGATAAAGTGAGTGAGCTTGCAAATATGGATGGATATAGACATTCAGGAGAATAGAAAACTGTCATTTAGAATTAGAGAACATTTTTCATACTTCCTACAGCCACATCTATTGAAGTGATTTAAGAATTCCTAGAATATATGGCTATTGGTCTATAGATGGAGAATAGATCTAAATTAAATGAGATATAGAAGTTTCTTTGGTAACTACTTTAAAGGCGAGAGGTAAAATGTGAACCCAAATTAGGTTTAGGTCTATCTTTTGTTATCAGGAATGGAGATTATTCTTAGTAGCCAAATAAAAATATATGTGAATAGGGATCCCTGAGAATGCTACAAAATGTGTCATTTTTAGGGCATTGATCACAACCAAGACAGTGTCATCATTTATGAGGCAGTTCCCCCTCATAAATAGCACCTAGACCTCTACGGGGAAGATATATAGTCAGAGAACATCTGTTTTGTATGTTCTTTCTTAGAAAGTAAAGTTTTGTATGTTCTTTCTTAGAAATTCTGGGAAGTGACTTCATTTATATTGTTCCATGGGTGCTGACATGGCCATACTATTTGAATGTAAAGGGTTTATAAAGGAAACTTAGCAAATATTTGAAGTAAGAATAATGTTTTTTTTTTTTTTTTCAGTTGAACAAGGAGATGGTAGAGATTTTATGCATAGGACCTATATTATGCAAAGACTTGAGATTACCCAAAATGTCTTGGGACTTGAAGGGTGGGAAACAGCAATGAGGAATAAGACTGAGGAGGTAAGCAGAAGATGCATCAAAAATACTGTTAAAATCGTGGTAATAAATTTAAACTTCATGTTGTGCATCAGTAGCAACTTCATTTCTATAAAAGTTTTTAGGAATTTCATGGATATCTGCAGATGCCAACATGAGAATGTTAAGCTGAACCTAACTTTTCTTCTTTAATAAGAATCATTTTTTTTTACTTTTAAATTTATTTTTTAGAGATACACTTCCAAGTAGTAATCCATTGGGAAGCTGCTATATGATGAGGAGACATTGGAAAGTTTTAAGCAAGGGAATGATAATTTAATTTTCATTTTATGAAAATTCTTATAATTTCTGGGTAAACAACGGATTAGAACATGGACATGAGTGAAGATAAGAACAGTTAGGAGAGTATTAAACAAATGAGCATTAAGGATTTTTGTCTTCTAAAGTACAGGGAGTAGAAATAAAGAGGCATGGAATTTTAAGAGCTAGTTATTATGTGTAATTGATGACAAAAAGATAGGAAATAAAACTCATGCACAGATCTGTTACCAACTACAATAACTATCAATATACTACTTTCTCATCTTTTAATCCCTTTTATGTCTCCTCTCTCCCTAGATTGCATACATGTATAAAAGAAAAATGAGCCCTGTATTTAAAATTTGTTTGGCCCTAATATTTTGGTTTGTATCTTTGAGCCTTCATCTATCCCAATAAATCTTAAATTTTATCTTTTCATGTTAACTCATATTTCTTGAAAGTTCTATTCATGGTCTCTTAACATCTTTTCTCATTGGTCAGCTTTATTTTCAAGATTATATATTTTGTCTTCTTTGCCTGGAACTCTGTATTTCAAGTGGACTATTGTGCTGGTGATTCTTTCCAATGAATTTTTTAATATGGTTTTTTATTTTTTCATTTCAAGTATTTCTGCTTGATTTTTTTTCATAATCTCTGTTTATTAAGGTGATCTTTTGCTCCTATTTTCTCCTTGATGTCAATCCTTACATTATCCTTTACCTCACAGATCAATTTAAGTGAACATTATAAACTACTTCTCTGACATTTCTTCCAGTGTGGTGTTGATGGATTCTGTTATTAAGTATTTTGGCTTATTTGGGGATGATTTGTTCCCTTGCTTTTCTATGTTATTTGTGTGTCTAGTAATCTAACCATATGGGTTTTAGACAGTTTCTTCCCTGTGGAATTATAGTGTCCCTGATGGTTTCTAGCAGCTCACATTTTAGGGGGAGACATATAATAACAACATCCAATACAAACAATTTATAACATTAGACCAAATATTTCCTGCTATGCCACCTACAATGTTAATTGTCATAATAAACAAAAATTATATAATCACTTTTGCCTCAGTAAAAGCAGTAAGTTCACAAAAGAATTTTCAATTTTAAGTGGTAAAAAGGGATAAAACAGCAATGATATAAGATGTAATGATTATGAGGGAGGATTAAAGAAAGTAGAAATAAAAATTTAAAGAGAGATCAACAGAGATTGGCTGTTAGCAAAGGAAATGAGAGAAAGAGAAACAAGGGAAACAGATAAGTGAGAGAAAAATGTATAAATTTAAAATTTAAAAAATAATACAAGAGCAAAACCAATACATACTAATCAAATATTTAGTCCTTAAAATACAAAATACTGATCCATGAAAAATAACTGAATTCGAAAAATTCTAGAAATGAGAAAAAAGAAGCAGATATGAATATGTATATATGTCCATGGACCATTCAGCTCACAATTGAATAGAGAAAAGAAAAAAGGAGGGCTGGGGATGTGGCTCAAGCGATAGCGTGCTCGCCTGGCATGCGCAGGGTGCTGGGTTCGATCCTCAGCACCACATAAAAATAAAATAAAGATGTTGTGTCCACCGAAAAATAAAATAAAAAAAATTAAAAATTCTCTCTCTCTCTCTCTCTCTCTCTCTAAAAAAAAAAAGAAAAAAAAAGATCTTGATGAAAAGTTAAATAATTTTTTGTGTTCAAGTTCAAAAGATTCTAAGATTCCCTTCTGAGCTATGTTAGGTGGGGTTGCTGAAATGTGAAGGAAAATCCTGTAGGCAGAGCTCCTGGAGATGGAGTTTATGCTTAGATGGGCTCCAGGTTCTTCGTTGAATGGCAGTTTTTGTGAAGATTTTAAATCAGTGTGCCTCCCAGGTTCAGTAGTTGCCTGTCCATGCAGGAAGACTGCCCTCCCAGGAAGACTGCCCTCCCAGGAAGACCTCCTTGGTTTTACTTGTGTGGTGGAGAAGCCAATTCATGCTTCCCTCAATGACTTGTGAATTCTGTGTTTTCTGGTCTCTTGAGTTCAGTCTCCAACTCAATTCCTCCCTGCCTTTTCAAAATCCTGGCCAGGAGTATCTCTCCTGGCCCATTCTTCAAGTGACTGGTCTGGAGGGAGAGGAAGGAAACCATGTGGGTTTCCCCAACTGTATTTCCCTATGTAAACAAACTCCTCTCCATGTTCAATTTTTTCCTGTTTACTTAGGCACACTCTGTCTTCCAGCATGGCTTTGCCAGGCCTCTATTTCAGGTCAAGCAGAGTTGTTCAGGAATAGTTTCCCCCAGGAGCTGGCCTCTGTATTGCAGCTACAAAATGGTTCCTTCCTCTGTTCTCCCTGGCAGCCAGGACAAATGCTGGCTTCTTTCCTGCATAAGAATATTGAGTATCACACTTCTTAGGTTAGTCAGGCAGTGTTTTTGTTCTCTGCTCTCTCTTTATGCAGAGAAGCCCCAGACCTCCTAAAAATGTGGGTTCCTTTAATAGATGTATCCCCACTATTTTCGTGTGCAGGGGTAGGGAGGGGATCATACTGGCAAATGTCCTGCCAGTGGCAGCTGCACTAGAGATTTCTTCTTTCTTTTTAAAATTTTTTTTATATCCAACATCCTGAGTCCCCAATCTGCCTTGAATATCCAGAACTAATTCCCAGTGAAGAAGGCTCCTTCCCATCTGACTGAGAAGCTGTCTGTTTGCTTTCT